CCTCCTGCGCAGCTCTATTTCTTGTTCTCATTTCCACCTGGATGTAAGATGGGATGAGTACGCGTGTGTGATCCATTGTATAGGATATTGGTCCTGGCAGTATGGAATTCAGTTAATTCCTCCAGCTACTCTTCAAGGTTGATTAAATAATTGCTGATTTAATGCGAGTGTCAGTGTAAGTCTGTTTGTGTGTGTTTCTGTATGTTAAAAGCAGGGATGATTTGCTCAGTAAGCAAATTAAATGTAATTTCATTTTGGGAATTTTGTCCAGAAATTAATTTAGACTCCAGTGCCATTTTCTCTCCTTCTGTCTCTTGATGTTTTGCCACATAAGTTTAAGGTTTTTTTTTTTCCCTACCTTGACATACTTTTAAAAGTGTTCATAAAGTTAAAAGGATATAAACTCTTAAGAGGTAAAGCAGCTCATGCATAGCTGTTCTTTAATGAATTATTTCAAGTAAAGCTGCGCTGGCACTGCTTGAAGACGTTACCACACATTCCTTGCAGATGGCGAAATGCATTAGAAGGGCTCAACTCAACTACAGGACCTAAACCCTCGGATGCTTATCTGTTTCAGCCAGCTACAGCGTGACAATCCAAAAAAAGCGAGCTGTATAAACACTTGGTTCAGCATCTGTAAATTTTTGGCTTCAGGAGAAACTTAAAGTGGACTCAAAGCCGCAGCTGAAGTGTTTAGTCACTGCGCGGTCGCACCATATGTTTGGTGCTGAATAAACATTCCAAATTAAGTTATTTATGACAGTATTTCCATAATTTATTGCAGCATTTTAAGACGGCAGCCATCGAGATGCATCAAACAGCCACCAAAACATAGTGAAAATTTGAAAAATAATTTGGGCAGATGCTCATTTCATATAAAGTTGAGGAAGTCCAGCAGAACCACAAGACTCTAAAAGTTTTGAAATTAAATGATGAAATGTACCCCTTTTTCAGTGAGCATATTTTCTCAGACTAACACCAGTAAGGTCATGTAGCCCATTAAATTGAACACCATAAGGGACACAAAGGCTTTCTGCTAAGAGCTGCTTGTGCATTAGAGCAGAAATTGACCAAGCTGATTGGGAGTTATTAAACCGCTAAATGTTTTATATGCACTCGTACTCTTAATGTGGCTGATTTCAGTTGCTTTGTGACTGTGATAAAACCTACAAAAGCTGCCAACTTACCAGATTTGATTCGTAATGTCAATTTGTGATTTGCAGTGTTTACTCTCTTCCTCGCAAGATTTTAAAGTAGAAATTTGGAAATTTGGTTTTGGTTTGCCATTGGTTCATTCCATCCGCCCGCCCACCCACCCACCCACCCACCACCCATCCATCCATCCATCCATCCATCCATCCATCCATCCATCCATCCATCCATCCATCCATCCATCATCTATTTGTCCATCCATGTTTGCCTGCTCATTCTTCCATTATCATGCCATCTTTCCATCTATCTATTTCTCCATTATCCATCCATCGAGCTAGCTCCTGTTTACCTGATGAAATCTGATAACTCTCCAAACCAAAAGTTAATATACCAGCAGTGAACAGAATATTTCAAACAATACAAGTAACTGTACCAATCATACTTTTTGTTTTTGGAGTGGAGGAATTATGTTTTTTTTTTTTTCTGTGTTGTAGCCTCAGGAGAAATAAGAGCAACTCTCTATTAAAATACTTTCCAGATTCAGTTGGGGACTTTGCTCGAATAACTCCAGTACTTTTCCTCACCATTGAACACCTCTGGGTTTTGACTGTGCATCTTTCTTTCTGGATGCGTGTGCATGTGTGTGCGTGCACCTTACCCCATGTTTATGTGTATGTCAGAGGGCGTTGTGTTGGTGCCACATAAACGATTATAGGGCTCAGATAAATAGACATCATTAAGCCTCTGAACTGTAATTATCGTCAGCCCTTTTTGGGGAGGCTGAGGTGAGTGGGAGAGGCCAGGTATCGGTAATAAATCAGCAAAACACACACAGATGCCCACACAGTTTGCTAGTTAGTACCAGTGCATCCTGCCCAGAAACCTCGTTGACTCATATGAAGACAAGGGTGTACGGTTCTGAGCACTACACTTCATGTTGACATAATATTACGTGTGTTGGTGCGTTGAGGCTTTTGAGCATTTTACATTTCCACAAATATCAAGCCAACCAGCTGCTGACTGAAAAGGAAGTTGAGAGACCATGAACCCAATATGTGTGCAAACTGTCCTTTCCTGTGCAATTGACACTTGAACCATACCCTCACAGTTACACACATTGTGCTATCTTTCTGGCCCAGATTCAGGGTAGTGAATGTTTCCCTAACACACTCCTTGAATCATGGCCTCAAATCCAAATCGAGCATTGCTTCATTAGCTGGTGGAAGCAAATATTTTCAGGTGTACGTGTGTTGCAACGAGGGGCAGCTGTGGGGCCATATGCGAGTGATTTAGGAACTCGGAGGGAAACCAAATTCTGATGACAGACGCACTGTTTGGCTTGCAATAGTCTTGCAATAGTCACACACACACTTGTGCACACACACACAGGAAGCATACATCAATCAATCACCTGGCTCTGTCTCTTTACATGTGGTGACCGTATGGTGTGCTCCCCATGCACTCACACGAACACGCAAGCTCTGGCTCGGTGCGCTCCTGACGATTTGGTCATGGAGGTGTCCTTCTGTCTAATCTCAGGTCGTCATAAAACACATGTTCCATAGAGAGTCTGATTAGATTAGCTCAGCTGTTTATTACATGTAGTAGGTTGTTGGGCAATCAAGAAATTTTCTGTACAAATCCAGACTGAAAGAGCCAAAAGAATCAAGGAAGTAGCTACCGCAAATACTCCAACCTTACCATGTGGTATTCAGGAGAGCATCTTCTCACAGCCATGGGGTTTTCAACCTCGTCATGTTCACCCTGTGTGGCGCACTAAAGACTTGGAAGGTTTGTAACTGGATGTGCAAAAGAGGTTGAGACAGTGTTCTTATGTGTGTAGAAAAATCATTACATTTGTTGAGGTTGTTTGCCTTTAATTAGCCGTGTCTACGAAAATCAGCTCTCTGCAATTTGGGTTACTAATCACTGCTACATTTATGTTGTGGATAAGAAAATATGATTTTTCTACTGAGGACTGAAACTGTTGCAAATATATATATATATTTAACAAATATTTTAATGCCTCAATAAGCCTAGAAATTGATATTTTAAAATTTACTGTTTTACATTATTAAATAATTTTTTACAGTTTCAAGTCATTTCACCATCTAATAAAAGTCACCAGAGCCCAAAAAACCTTAAGAAAAAAAAAAAAAATCCCACATGCTTCATGTGTTCTGTTTGCCAGTTTGTATTGTGTACAAATTTGGGTGGTCCCAATTGTTGTGTACTTTCAAAAGAAATGACATCCTATCTTAGGTGGTGAAATTTGTTTTGCACATGACTTTGGACTGAAGCAGTTGGGTAATTCTGCATGTTTGCTTGTGTGGGATTCCAAAAGAATCATAAAGTGGTTTATTGGGCTTTGACACTTGCAGTAAAGAAATTTCCAATAAATAAATAACCCAAACGGAGCAACGTCTACTGGGCTGTTATGCTTTTAGCTGGCAGCACCAAGCAGATGTTAAGTGGAGGCGCTCAAAGTGGCTCCATCTGTAGCTCTGCTCTGAGATTACCAGCAGCCTGGTTGAAGTGAGACCCTCACTAGTGCTTTTAACTTGTAAATCGGGATGTTCTGAGATTTTTTGTATGCCATCCATAACTCCCAGTTGTGTCATGAACACCATATGACAAAAAGTTAGCACTAGTCACAACAGAAACAGTTTTTGGGAAGGAAGTAAACTTTTTTGGCGTCTACTGTTGCTTAAAAATCATCCTTCATGTTGTCAATGATTAAGATGCTTGATTTTGTTTCTGTCTTTTTTTGCTATTGCCTTGAAGGTTACCTGCATCTGCTTGTATCACACCACAGCCTAGTTTACTTGTATATTCGTGGAAACTAGCCTGATTCATATTTTCCATTATACTACGTCAAAAGACGCTTGTAATCGTTTGCCGTTGGAAGTTAGCTTTCAACACAATACTTTGTGTGTCATTTTGGCGCAGCAATTGTAGATCTCTCCGTGGCTGAGAGCAGGATTTGAGAGACTTGAAGAGAGGAGAAAATAAATACAAGAGATGTACGATGATGAAATTTTATTTTAATAAACGAAAGAGAGAAGGAAATGGTTTGCGAGACTGAGAAACCGAGTCACAGTGGAGAAAGATGAGGTATGCTGTCCTCGCAGGGTCACAAAGGTGGTGTGTGGGGCCAGAGGCTTAATGGGATGGAGAAACGTTGTGATTGGCTCATTACTGTGATGGAGCACATTGCCACAACAATTGGCCTTTTCACCTCCCACCACCGCTACTTCACACCGTTCTTTCCACACACTGCTTTTGTATGCACTGCTGCGCCGTGAACTGCAGAGGTGTGTATATGAAGAAGCATACGCTTGTACAGCAAAAGTCAAATATTGGCCTGCTGCAGTTCTCAGCAACACTTTCTATTGCTGCAAGGTGAAAATCTAAGTCATTCATTTGCATGTCTTGCAAGCAGCACTTTGAAAAAAGAAAACCCAGGAGAATCTCAAGAGTCACACATATTCACTTTTTTTTAACACAAGCAACATATTTCATTGATAGGCTTATTTAACTTTTCAGAGTGTGTTTATTTTGGGGAAAAGATGAATGTGTTTAGTATTGCTTCAAATCAGAGCTCATCGTTTTTCAGCCACAAAGCCAAGGTGGTCGTTCTTTCTGCCTGTCTCATAACCTCATCTACCAGTTCAGTCATCTGTGGCATGCCCATTAAAAGAGAATTATTTCAAATTAGGCGAAAATTGTCGGCACTGTTTGCGCTTCCATTCTCGTTATAACTTATAATGTCTTGTCATATTTGTTTGCCGTATTTGAAAGTTTCACATAAAGTTGCTAATGCTGCACATCATTCTGTCTCTTTGCAGCGACGCAGAGGTAGTGGGGTTTTCTGTGCAAACTGCCTGACCACCAAGACGTCGCTGTGGAGGAAAAACGCAAATGGAGGCTACGTCTGCAACGCATGTGGTTTATACCAGAAACTGCATTCGGTAAGTCAGCGGCAGACAGACACAAACACTTTCTGGGTGCAGATTAGTCTATCATAGACAGACTATTATGAGACGACAGGTTTATGGCGTTTTAAGTTGAAAACAATTTAAATATTTAGATGAAACTTGTCATCAATAACTGCGAGGAAAACAGTCAGGAAATATGCCCTTAGACAGAGAGTGGTCTCTGGGAATCACTGTTCATTTCACTGCCAGACTGTCAAGCAGCACTTTGAAAAAAATCCTTTTTAGTGTTGTTCCTATGTGTATCAACGACCTTTCTGAAAGAAAGTGCAAAAAATCCACTGATCTGTGTTGTGTGCAGTGTTCATGATGGCAGCTGCGGCCTTCATTTGATGTGCAGAGAAATCTAGAGGCACGCTCGTCAAATACTAGAACTGAAAAACACAACAGTAAGGCAAAGTTTAACAAATTAGATCAAAATCCAAGTAATGTTATATTTTAGAATTTATGTGAAAATTTTATTTGTCAGCCTTAAAATTTCTTCAAATGATTTCTTCAGTTTAGCTGCAAGCTGTATTTTGGTAAATATGGTTAATTTTAGTTTAAATTTGAAGCTCTGAAGTCAATTTCTTTGCATATTCAAAATATTGTCATAAATTTGTAATAAGAAATGTTATTTTCTTTAGTTGCTATGGTGTAAAAAAATTACATAAGAACCATTATTCCAAATAGTTTTTTTGTAATTTCCCCCTGTCTGCCTCTAATAATGCTTAAATTATCTGTCCGATAAGTAATAACTGCTGAATTAAATTTCCAAACCGGTTTATATTATGAGAAAATCACATGGGAGTAAAGTTTTTGCAATAAGTAAAAGGAAATTTGTCTGAGTGGTGAAAATTAATTTGAAGGGCTGAACTGCCATCCACTCATATGAGACTCATAAAGAAAAGGTTGTTCATAGCCATTTTATGGACTGCTGTGTTTTAGTGCACACGCAGGGTGGCTTTGTCCACTAATTATTATTCTTCCTGTGTGGCCAATTAGCATACGATGCAAATGAAATTGTGCATAATGCAGTTAAATGCTTCGTATCTGTTTGACTCTCACTGTGTAAAAGTAATGCTGTAGCAGAGGAAAAAGAAAGTATTGTTAATTTGGCGAGTGCCGGGAGTTTGGGGAGCCTTTCGGCAGTCGCAGCGAGCCAGTTCCTCGGCATAGGAAATATGATGGAATGGATGGAGTTTACCATCAAAGCCTGGGGAAAGTCGATGGAAATCCCAAATTTAATTAGACCGCATGAAGTTCAGCTGAGATAAAGAGCCAGCTTGATTTTTAGTTGACTTGAGGATATCAAGCTTATTCAGACATCCTCTCAAGGTATTCAGCCTAATTATGCACTTTACAAATAATATCAGAATTATACAGAGCCTCAAACTTTATCATGTTTTTGGCCCTGACTTTAAAAGAGGCTTTCGAGAGAGCTCCAAAAGTCTGGAACTTAAGAATTTTCTGGCTTTGAAAAAATATGTGAATGCAAAATAAGAGTATGGACAGTTTTTTGTTTTTCAAATCCCCAATCCGATAAAATAATCTGTACTCGTTCCCTCTTTCATATTTGACTTAATCTCCTTCTTTGTGTCCTTACTTTCTTCTTTCCTGCCTTCCTTAACTGTCTTCTTCTTTTCGCCTTTTTTTTATTTTGATCTTCAAGGGTTACCTTTTTCTCTTGTATCCTTCAATGTATCCTCTGTCAATCTGTGTGGCCTACCTCCCTTCTTTCCATCTTTACTTTCTTTGTGTCCTTTCATCTGTTCTTACTACTGTCCTTTCTCCTTTCTGTTTTTCCTTCCTTTCTTGTTCATTCCCTCGTTAGTATCTGACTGTCCTTCCTGTCTTCTTTGTTTCATTCTTCTTCCCTAAGAAGGAAGCTTTCTTTCTTCCTTCCCTCCTTTGGAAATGTTGAGTTTCGGAAGAGAATATTTACGTGTGGGATCCCCATTAAAAATGCACCAGAAAGGCTTTGAAGAAAACTAAAGAAAATAAACATTGCTAATGAATGAATGAGTGGGCTGACCATACTACAAGCCTGTTGGTGGGATGACGAGTCACTGAAGATGACACTGAGGAAAGAAGCTACCGCATCGTTTCCTCTTTCCTACCCCCAAAGATGTCCTTGGTTCAACCCGTTCATCTCATCTGCTGCTCCAATCACGTCCTGGCTCCCTCCACTCTTGGCAGTCCTCACGACAACCATATTTTATATCCTATAATAAAAGTTTTATACGCTCTACACACATTATTAGAGAGGATAGCAGCTAGTAAAACACTTGAGAGTCCGAGAGGGAAAAGGAGAGTTATGAATAAAGAGGGGGAAACAGGCAGATGGAGAGAAATGACGAGTAAGAATAGGAGTGGAAAGATAAATAATGTTAGTGGGAAAAAAATGGAGGAAAAGATAAAGGCAGCACGAGGATAATGAAGGGGCAGGGGGCAACTGAAGAGTGAGAGATGGAGCCTGTCGCAGAGATTAAGCAAAAATGCAGAACTCTACATTCAAGAACAGATGGAAACAGATGGAAGGACTGATAAATAGAGCAAGAATTGTGCCTACTGGCAGTAAGTCAGCCTAGGTATTATACCATCCATCTCTATTTATACAAAAGTGCAAAACATCACAACTGCCTTGTTTGAGTTGAACATCTCACATGCACAGGATTAGTAGCTCAAAAACCAAAGAACTGAATATTTTCCGTATTATGTAAATGTCCCGTTAATTTAACTGCAGTTCCTATAATGAATAAGCCTTCTTTACCAATGAGATTAATAATTTTGGCTTATTCAAAACAATATATTTTGGTTACAGAAAGTAACCCTCCTTTCTGAAACATATGAGGTGACTTGCCTGTATTTATGTATACTTGAGGGCAATGTTACGTCAACAATTTGTTCTAAAATAAAAATCTGAGAAGTGTGGCTTGCTTGTATTCAGACCCTTTAGTAAATACATTCGAGGATTGTACCAAGGTTGTCTGCAGTTACAGCTAAGTCCCTATCAGTTTTGCACATGCTGAAGGTTTAATTCATCCTCCTTGAGTAAAATTGCTCAAACTCAGTAAAATTAAACAGAGATCATCAGTGCACATGATTGCATGTCTTGCCACAGATCATCAAGGATGGGATGAATACAGATATCATCCACTTCAATATAATGCACTAGTTTGTGTTGACTGTTCACCTAAAATCCCAATAAAACACATTTAAATGTTTAGCGTGTATATTTATTTATTTTTACAAGGTGCTGTATGCTCTACAACATCCCAAAAACTGCAAATTGGCAAAAATATCTTTGGGGTGAAGCAGGTAGCAAATAAGAAAGTCATGTGATATTTGGCAATATCAAGAATCCTTTATTGTCATTATGTGGTCACATGTAATGAAATTCTGTTTGGTCAGAGTAGTTTGAACCACTATGTCATACCAAATACTGACTTATAGACCTGTCACTCAGACTGCAGCTTTAATTTTTTTATAACCTGTCACGCTTACAAAGCTCTGTTGCCATCAAGTTCTTGCACCATCAGAGAATAATTCGTCTGTAATTTCCCCTGTGCATCGCATTGTGGGAAAACTGCGTCCATCATCAGACTGCCGACAAATCGATTAGTCTTCCAGTATTAGTTGTTTCTGTCAGCTTCTACTGTCAGCTGATTTAAATCCCAGCGCCACAGTCTGGTAGTGGTTCTCTTGTGCTTATTTCTTTCTTTTCTTCCTCTTTGTTCCTGACCTCTTTCTCCTGTGGTTCCTCAACTTGCCGCTTCCCACTTGTGATTTATCTCTCCCCTTTGTTTACGTCTCTCGTGAAAGAAAAACAAACAGGAAAACTATAGAGAATTAGAGAAATGTCTGTGTTATAATTTAGGCAGTGTTTAGGCTGCCACTTCTCCCAGTGGTGTAATCTTGTTTAGATATTGATTCAGACTTCTAAATTGTGTATAAAATCTTCAGAGGGACAGTTTCTCTGTTAACAGTGGAGACGCTTTGCATTTTGTTAAAGTACAGTGTAAAAAAATGCAACAAAGCATTGTGGACTTTTGGTTAGGACAATTTATTAAAGTATTCTTCTTTTTACTAGAAAAATGGACCCTTAGCATTTTTCATGACTGAAGTTATTGTTGTTGTTGTTTTTTTTTAACAATTGCAAAATACATTAGACTACAATCCAAAAATGACACACTTTCCCCCTTTGACCTGACTGAGTAACAGACTTTTTAAAAATCCAGGGCTTTTCTCATCTGGATTTCTGCAGGTTTTCAATAAGTTAAATTGTCAATTGGCACATAACTGGAAATTGTAGAAGAAAACTTGTTAGAAGAGGAAAAAAAGCTTTGAGAGGTTCATCTTCAGAGGTTCACCTTCCACCAGGAAAACAACCACAAATATTCAGTTAGAGTTACAATGCAATGGCTTGAAGCAAAGAATATTAATTTGTCAGAACTGTCTAGTCAAAGTTCAGGACCAAAATCAATCAAAAGAGTTTGCGAGTACTCTTAATTACAAATGTTTCCCATCCAATCTGGCTAAGTTTCAGTTATTTTGTGAGGAAAAAAAATAGAAAATACTCCCGTCTGTACATTTACAAAGTTCGCAGTCGTACTACACAATACTTGACTCGGGTGAGAATATCGATGCACACACAAAAAAAATTGTTCAAGAAAGTTGTTTTTTTTTTAAGTTTGTAAAAATACTAAATTTTAAATAAACCTTAGGTTTTAACTTTGTTGCACTGATGTAATTTTTGACATAAATAACTAAATATCAACTAATGATTTGCTTCAGCAGTTTATCAGGAGGAAAATGAAGCATCCTTTTCTCAATTTGTATTTTTAAATGCATTTTTTCAATTTGCATTGACAAATGCAATGCACAGTTTGACCTTTATGAGTGTGGCATGCACTTCTCAAAGTAGAGTTGAGCTTGTCTCCTGGGGGCAAACTGAAATTACAGAAGATGTGAGTGTGCCCCCTTGTGTTTAGGGTAAAAAGTACAGCTTTCAGAGGTGGTGGATATGTTGGTCTTAAAAAATTATAGAAGAAAATTACAGGTTTCTAACTGATGCATTTTCAATAACAAAAAAGATATGCTGACTTGATTGATCAGTTTGATTTGATTACACCATCAGCACTCACAGAAGCCTCTCATTCATTGAATAAGTTATTTATTAAATGTCGTTATAGTCAAGCATTATTAACATGATAGAGCTGGGGAACTCAGTAATATTCCTGTATGTCTCCTTTTATTTGTAGACTCCCAGGCCCCTGAACATCATCAAGCAGAACAATGGCGAGCAAATCATTCGACGGCGGACCCGAAAACGCTTGAACCCTGATACGTTGTCGTCCGAGAACCCGGCCCCAAAACAGCAGCGAATCACCAGCGAGGAGCGTCTGAACGGTGAGGAGCTGGACACCAGGAGCTGCCCTTCAGTGAAAAGCCAGCAGCCTTCCCCACGCTCACGCTCCCCGCGGTCCACTCAAGCCTTCTTAGCCAATCAGACTCTGGAGATCCACAGGCGCATGCCTCCCCTCCTCCTTCCCGCCAACTCTACACCAGTCATGGTGGCCGAGAGCAACGGGGGCATCACAGACGGGGGATTAACGTCCAAACTAGAAGTGGGGAAAGGAGGAGGATCAGAAAGGGGAAGTCCAATTGAAAAGTACATGCGTCCATCTAAACCCTCAAGCTACTCTCCTCCGGGTTCGCCAATTGAAAAATATCAGTATCCGCTTTTGCCATTACCTCTTCCTTTGACGCTGTCACCTGATTTGACACCTGAATCTGATTGGCTCAGATTTTGGACCAAGTATAAGATGGCAGCCACCTCTGGGATCCCTGGTAGCATCAGTAATCTGAGTAGCCCGAGTGGGATTGGAAATAACGCCCATCATCTCGGAACCATGGTGACCCCTGTACAGTATCACCAGCAAAGCTACACGGTGCCTTACTGTGCTTCCCCTTACTCCCCTCTGCCGCCTCCTCCAGCCCCTGCTCACTACCCTCCTCCGCCTCCTCATCACGCCCAAACATTATCCTCTGCATCACCGGAGAACGACACTCCTTTGGATCTTGCAATAAGACAACGAGACACAAGCAACGCAACTATGTATGTGTCAAACGGTTCAGAAAGAAAAAGGAAGGAGTCGCCCCGAAGTGAGACCTCGATGGGAAACTGGAAAGGTGAGAAGGAGCGTGAAGAGATGGCAGAGGAAGGAAAACGTGAGTCAAGCATTGTGTCGAACTGCTCGAAGGCAGACGCTGCCACACAGGATGACCTCGCCAACCGGTGCACTCACTGTGGCATCTACTTCCTGGACGAGGTCATGTACGCCCTACACATGAGCTGCCACGGCGACAAGGAACCGTACCAGTGTGGGTTTTGCCTCCATGTATGCGCGGACCGCTATGACTTCACCACGCACATACAGAGGGGCTTACACAAAACGCTGCCACCGCCACAGCAGCAGCAGAAGGATCATACACCAGACGGCAAAAGTCTTCATGTAATGGCAGCGCCAGAGTGTCGCAGTCAGACACCTGCGCCAAAAGATGGAGGGATCACAAGCGAAGATGATGAAGTCATGAGTACAGATCATGATGGTCAAGAAAAGGCAGAAACAGACAGTGGAAGTATACAAGAAGTTGAAAAAGAGCAAGAAAGAAGTAAGGAATTATGTGGGAAAACAGCGTTGGAGGATCAGAAATCCCCCGAGATAACAACTGTGGCAGAGTCTACGAAGTTAGATGGGCTGACTGATGGAAATTAAACGACTCACAAAACGTTAATAATATGTTATTGGAGTATTAGGCTTTGTGTTCCTGAAGGTTTGTTCATTTCCTATTGGGCGTAACCTTAAAAAGCACTCCCACTGTCAAAGGCTCAGAGAAATATATTGCAGGACCCAGGTGAACTACAGCTGGGCAAGGGGAGAAACAGCCTGAATCCTCCGGTGAGTTACGGCTTACCTGACAGATTTGTGGCAGGGAGTCAACAGGGTGCTGGCATCCAGCTGAAATCACTTTTCAGAAAACAGTCGATCTGCGTGCATTCACATAGGAGGATCGGAGGCTGGACTAACATAGCCATCAAACAAGAGCAAAAAACAACTCGAAGTATAACACTTGAACTTTGCTGCGTTGATTTCATCTGCTGCATTTAACCTTTTTATTTCAGAACAACCAGATGTGATCTGGTGAGAACTGCTGCGCTTTTGCCCAGAACATGTTTATTTTTCCTCTCAAATGGATCTCAAAAACCAAAAAACAAAACAAAACAAAAAAAAAACACTTTGTTTTGAGTATTTTCAAACTGGTTTGCTTGAAACCAGCTAGGGCTTATATGCGGTTCAGTTGGTACGAAATTGACCAGTTTCTTTCACTTTATCCCATGCTGTTTCTCAAACTGATCCTGGATCAATGCAAAATCTACATGGTGGCTGAAAACTAGTCCTCACCCTTTTTGAAACTGCTTGAATCCAGGTGAAACTGATAAAACTGGTCTAAAGTCTTCATCTGCTTGGATGAAAAAAAAAAAAACACAAAAGACTTTATTTTTTACTTTCCACTGTGCCATGATACTAGCTATGTGCCTGGCTGCCTGCCTAAATAGAACAACCATTTATTAACCTGCTTGACATTTATATTAATGATATAAATAATAATGGAAATAAGAAGAAGAACCATGATGGCATCATTAATCGAAAATGCAATTTGCTACATTTTTTTATTTGTTGTTTTGTAAAGGTAAAAAAAAAAAAAGCTTTTTAAAGGAAATGGTACTATAAAAATTAGTCTATTTTAGTTCTCGTTTTTGTGTTTTTAATGAGATTTGTTACATTGATAAAAGCCGTCTAAAAAAAAAAAAAAAAAAATGGTACAGCAGTGGAGGGGGTTGTGTGCGCACATGTGCATTTGTTTTACTGCATTTACAGTGTGTAAATGCACACTGTGTGAGGATCGAAGGGTTTTCCGTCCCTAAACGATGATGTAAACATAATGAATGCTAATGCTCAGTTTCTTAGTCCTCAGGGGTCACACGTGCACACCAACCTGCCTTCATCACAGCATGTGACACATCATTTGTACACATCAAAGGCTTGGTGAGATAAGTGTTTTTAGCATGTTGCGTCTTGTTTTCTTTGGTTCTTCCTATATATGTTTCTATTGTGTGTTGTTTTTCATTTGGCAATAGGCCAATGTGTTTCTTTTTTTTAGGTTATAATTTTTCTTAATGTCTACATGTGTTTAAGTTACTAAGTGTATTAGAGAGACTTCAGAAATTAGGGAGCAAAACCCAACATTTTAACTGTATAAACTAGTCTTAAGAGATCCTTGCCTACAGTGTTTAATGTCTTATTGCTCAGAGTTAGAAACAAAAAGTTACCTTTATGTAGCACATTACAGCATCTTCATAAGTTTGGAAAATCTGTTGCCTTTGTAATGGATGGAAACTGTTACTTTTTTTTTTTTTTACCTTAAATATTACAGAAAGCCTTCATAAGAAAAGAAGTATAATTAGATTTTAAATCCTGAAGTATAGAAAAAGTTCTCAAAGGTATTTGTTTTGTTTGTTTCTTTTTCCCGGAGTCCCCTCAATCAGTTGAAAGACATGTTGGTTATCTTACCTGTTGTCAAAACAGAGACTTCTTTAGCCTCGCTGCCTTAGATGCTGGAAAACAAAAGAAAAGAGAACCCTTTGCTGGATATCAAAGACAGGGAAGGAACAAGATAAGAATCAGGACAAAAACTATTTTTTATATTTATTCAAAAGATGTTAAAGAATAAAATATCCACTTGGTGCCTGCTAACTATACATTTTTTAAAAGACATTGACATTGATACAATAATTTTCTCCATAATGATTATGTTCCTAGTTTTAAGGAATGCTACAGAATCAAAATGTCACAGTTTCAAAGACGGTGTCATTTTGTGTCACGTCATTCTCACGGTTCCCACAGGCAAAGACAGTATGGGGTTTTCTCCATGTGCATGATTTCAAAATACCACAACGCCTCCACCCTTTTGTCAGTCCACTGTGTTTTTGTCTAAATTATGAAGTCAAATAATTTACTTCCTCTCAAAATGGTTGTACTTTTCTTCCTCTATTCAAACGTACAATTAGCACCACAAGTTCAAATAAAGAATCCAGAAAATAAAACTAATAAATCCTTCTACTCAAATTTACAGTTAGCATTTAAGGTTGTAATGAACACATGACTGATATTAGGCATCATGCAATAACTGGTCAAACTTTTCATTTTTAGTCTCCAAAGCAGGAACCATGTTTCTCTGTGGTTAATGTATCATCAAACTTGTCAGCTTACTTTCCATGTTTGCACACTACCTTCTAGAAATGAGCCATATCTCTCAAAGAACCAATCTCCAGTGTTTTGGTCTTCAGTAAAGGCATTACATATTGTGTAATTGATATTATTTGCTAAATAATAATACGACTATATACGGTACCTCCAATAAAACTGGTTTTAAATTAGGACCAACATTGAATTTCATCTTGAAACTGAGAAACTGAACATAAAACATTTTCAGTGAATTGTACAATTTTGAAGAGAAAAATGCAATTATGGTGGAGAATAAAAAAAACATTGCTAGTAAATATAAAAATAAACATTTGCATTCAGTGGATTTGTTTAATCATTGATCTATAAGAAGATTAATTTAAACTGACAAGCCAGCTTTATACTTCTCATAAGATTCTGAAATAAAGCTGCAGGTTGTTTGTGCAATATAATTACTGAAGTCGTTGAAGTCTAGGTTAAGGAGTTGGCTGTTTTTTATTCTTTTGTCCTTATTTCAAAGAAAGACTCCTTATCTCCATTAACTGTAACATTTTAAATTTGATTTTACTAAAAAATGTTACCCAATATGCAATGTCTGGGGATGTTCAGCAAACTTGTCATTCAAACTTTATTGCATTTTATTTTTGGCAATATTTTGTCCTGTTTGTTGTTTTTTTTGTTTTTGTTTTTTTTAATGAACGTTAAATTCAAACTTTTGATCTGTTAAGGGGCTTCTAGTATATAAAGAATGTTTACATCTGTATTTGTAGCAAAACAAAACAAACAATGCACTGTTTTTTTAAGACAACAATGGAGTGGATGGAAGGATGTTGGCTGAGATGGAAGGATAGGAGCATTTGAAGAATTTGTGGGAGACAATGAGACGTACAGTAGCTGATAGAAATGTTTTATTGGCTTTTCCTTTGACTGTGTGCTGATTTGAATCTATGTGTAACAGTACATCTCAGTCAACTCCTTATTGTCCTTTCAATAACCTGCCTTCTCTCAGCATCATGTGTTTTCAGTGATTTACAAAGCAGAGTGAACAAGTTTTTCAAGGTTTTGAATCAGAGTTTTGTGCTGTTTTCAAAATGTTCACTCATTTACTGACAAACTCATACTAAATTTAACAGGAAGAGTCAAGATTTCATGCGTTTGAAGCTTTGGTTGTTTTTGACCTGATTTTTAAGTTACAAAATAAGGCAGTATCGTACAAATCACACCTCAGTTCATATTCATATCATGAATATTTTATATCCTTATTGACAGATATTCAGTCAATACTTTACATTTTTTTATCTGTTCCTGTTAGTTCAAATGTACAAAAAAGTGTTTTGACAGGAAAGGGCCATTAAAGTCAGTCTTCTTTATTGTCAATTCCTGTACTAGACATACAGTGAGGTTTCTCAACATCCCCCCGTGAAACTAAAAACGTAGAGATATTGCATAGCAATAAATAAGAACAAATAATAAGGAATAAAATATTCCATAATTTATACAAAAGTACAACAGTATTATTAAAATTTCCCATGAACCAGATATTATATACAATTTATAAAACACAAACTCCTTCATAGTTCACAGCTTAGATGGATAGAGCTCATGGGAGAGAAAGAAGGAAGGGGGCAAATCTGCAGCAAAAAATCCTGTGGGAATTAATAGCTTTGTTCAATGAGGTGCAAGATCTACACCTACGCCACGTGGTTCTCCATAAATGCCTATTTTAAAACGTTAAAATTAAAAACGAACTCCATAGTGAAAGAGTGGACAATTTGAACACAGCAGTAGCTACTCAAGAGTTTAAATGCTGACATATCCAACTAATTTAAGTGTTGTACAGTTGACTTGAACTAGGCTCTGGTTGGTTCAAAGCTATTTACTGGGTTTTGTCATTAATTTCAAGATGGTTCATATCCAGAGAACCAACATTAAACAGGAATACAACATAAGTTCTCCCCTGTATTTTTATTTTTTATTATGTTTTATGGACTTCTTAGAAACATTTCTAGGGGACTGTGAAAAAAGGGGTATATGAACTGTTATTTTGGCTAATTCTGGCGTGAAAAGTCATTTTGATGAACCAGAGAGATTTCTCGGTAGGCTGGGGGCCAAATAACATTTTTTTTTTCTTTATGCCATGATGTTTCCGTGTCTTAATTTTTGAAGGAAAATATTTTCTCTGTTACTAAGTTGAAAGCAAAAAAACAACATCCTTGATAGTGAAAACTTTGTTCTTGCACACTGAGTTTGTTAAAGCCCTTCAAAAATCTGGTCCCATTTGACAATGTGCTTTTGTTTTCTGACCAGCTTTTTGACAATGTTGCACCCATTTAAGGAAACTGTACTAAACCATAAGTACACTTGCGTCTTTATGAATGTTGGGATTTAAACTTTTAGATCATGGTAACGATTATGCAAATATGCTAAAAAAACAAACAAAATTCAAAACGTACATAAAAAAAGTTAGGGTCTGGAGAATACATGGTTTTGTTTTAAATTAGTGATTACTGTATGCTTTTTGGTAGGGTTGATGCCCTCTCAGGAGCGGGCATGACGCCATGCATTCAAAGGTTACTGTAACAGAAATGGCACCATACTGAGTGCTCATTTCAACTCGGTTGGAGACCACGGACTTCAGACTTTATAAAAGTAGCATTTTTATATTGCTTTTGTTTTTTTTATTCACTTCCAAATAAAACCAGATCAATCGTTTTCGCATTTACTGCTCATTCAGCAAACGTTTTGTGACCAGGTAGTGCTTGAATGCATATGACACCCATTTTTCCGATTTCATCAAATGCACCACATTTCTAAAACATAATGAAAAACCGTTTCTGTCCATGTGATAGCATGTTGGCGTGAGAGAGCGGCTCTGGGAGAGTTTTGGAGACGGGAAGAGAACGGAGCGTAGTGACCTTTTTTGATTTTCGGCGAGTTTTTTTTTTTTGGACTACAAGTGTGTCCAAAGAGTTTGTGACCTTAAAGTGTAATGGCATTTTGAATCAGCGTTTACATTGGGAGGCCTTATCACATGTTTTGTCTTTGTCAGAATGTGCTCTAGGAATTGATGCTATTGCTTGCACTCCATTTATTATGTTCTTATTGCCAAGGAAGGGACAACACACCTACACACATAGGTACATAGTGAGCGTAGATTTTGGGGTGAACAGTGTTAACTAAGGCTAGTTTAGTTCTGGCTGACAATACACGCACACTCATACACAGTACATGTTTATGTTTAATCAGTTTGTTGTATTAGGAGTTTGTCTCTTCTATGTTGAATGGCTTTTCTAGGGAAGGTTATTTTTAGGTTACGTTTTTCTCTCATGTTATTTTATTCTGCTACCTTTCTGTATGTTATTGTTTTTTTTTTTTTTTTTTTTTTTTAGTTTTGTGTCATGCAAAAATGATATTTCAGCTACATATTTTGACAGCCAAGAAAAGTTTGTTACACAGCTAAACTTGAAGAATAGTGATGACGATTATGATAATAATAAATAATAAAAGTTATAACAAACGTTCTCGAAAAGGACATTGTGTGTTTTATTTCAACATGGTCTCTAGATAAAGAAGAATGTGTTTTACGAAAACCTATTGTGTATTATAAACCGAGCATGTTTGTTCTATATGTTTATAATATCAAGATGCTCATGTGGGACTTTATTCCAAACCAGACACATTTTTGAAGCCTGAATCTTAAGCCTGCTGACCTTTCACTGTGATTTCTAAATGAAGCCTCTACATTAATTTGTTTTTTAATCTATTTTTGTTTGATGCCACCTGCACCTTTTATCGTCTCTTCATACCAATATCTATCTTTATTTTGTATTTTCATTTAGGTAGAAATGACCGGCGGTGTAAGAACATGTTTCATGAACATAATTCCTTTTTACTTAAGTTACTGAAGATGTTTTAGCTGCTGATCCACAAAGTCAAGAGTTTCTGTGTGATGAATCAACTTGCAGTCTTTAAAGATATTTGGTACGACTGTTGCGTCAGTGTAAATGTATTCCTATTTCGAATTTGGACAATTCCACCTATAAATGTTAAATTCCCATGGATTTCAGTGGCGGTTGAGAATCAAACAGGAACACACGCACACAATCACTCTCAAGGTTTACTCATAAGCTGTTGGCCCACCAAACTTGCCAAAGCGAGTAGAAAATAATCGCGGTGAAACATCAGTGATTGTGAGCCTTCTTGCTAAATGGGTGCTTCTGTGTTGGGTCAGCATTAAGATGCTTTCATTGTGACATCTCTCTGTCATTTTTCTCTTTTCCAGACATTATCAGGGTGAAAGTTGCACGCTAAATACAGTCTGAGTGTCTCAAGTGATATTACCTGAATTAATAAAAAAAATCAGGCCAGGTCTTCTGTCATTTCAGAATCTTCAAGGATTTGGTATGCTGAGGTGAGTAAATATTAATCTATACACACTGTGTGCATATTGTTGTATAAGAAAGCCGTCATACACATTTTTAAAATATTTGTCCTGTGTCTACAAAGATCTGTCTACATGATTAAATGAGTGTTGGGCTGAAGACTATCCCAAAACACACAAGTAATAAATAAGATATCTCTTGTGTTTTTATCCTCTGTGATTATATTTGATTGTAGTTATGAAGTTTAAGGCAGTACTCATTTGGACTATCACCAAAAAATTTTTAAAATACAAATTCAATACTGGAATTGCAACTCAATTTGCACCAAACGGAAGAACTGTAGACTTAGTAGAGCTATTTGCACATAGTTTAATAATACTTCATTTTATTTATAAGCTTCTTTTCAAGCCTGTCGAGGTCGATTTATATCAACATGAAGCAATATATTGTGAAGAAAATTATAAAGGTTGCAATTGATCCTCTCTCTAGCTGCACACACAAAATAATTAGAATAAATAGAAAAAAGGGTTTTACCTTTCTATTTTATTCTGCATATAATTGATTTTGCTTATGCAAATGGCATGTAGTTAATCCAGGTTTTATATTTTGAGCCTTCATTTTTCATGTTCTTTTTTTTTTTTGCCTTCCGCTCTTTTCTTTTACAGGAAACAAAACACCCTGTACTGCCTCTAAGTCTTTTGTGCTACTAACTTTTAATGAAAATTGATTTGTGAAAAACATATTCTGCTATAGCAATTGTATGTTTGGCTTTGTTTTCCTTAGCTGGTGTGGAAATCTAATTTTAATTTTCCACTAGATGCAGGTATTGTTTTTTATTAGGGAAAGATATTTTTTTTCTTGCGTGTTTAACAACTTAGGTAAGTTTACCCCCAAAACTCACATTTTATGTTTAAGTCTGTAGATTTTGAGTTTGGTTTTTATCAGAGTTATGGAATTTTGTTGTTGTTTTGAGGAATTGGTGTCCTTTTGATATTTTATGTTTTCTTGGCATTCAGTTATTTTTGTGATATAACTTGTAATATCTAATTTATCCCTGTGTTAGCTTGTACTGTTTCAACCTTCCTCCCAGCTCTTTAGTCTTGCTTCCCCTCAGCTGCCATGCATTGGACTCACCTGGATTCTATATGCGTTTTCTTGTCTCCTCATTATTTAGGCATGCAGTTTTCATTCACTCTGCTGGTTTATCCTTCTCATGCTGGTTCCTGTGCACAGATGTATGTCCTATTTCCTTCCTGTTTGTTTTTCCAAATTACATTTCCTATAAATAATTGTTCCCACACCTCTGCCTTCTTCTTATTGCATCTGAGTTTTCCTGTACAAAATAAGACAAGAAATAAATGACAAGGATAAAAGGACATGTATGTTGTTGCTGCGTCATCTTAATTGCAGTCTTTGATGGAACATTTATTGTCTTAAAGAAACAGGTGTGGCCACAGAGAGGTCCTATCCTGTAGTCGTGTCCCTCAAAACTAACATTTAATTTGAGAAATATCGATTTAAGCAATTGCATATCCAGATAAATATTCAAAACAGCGGCGTGATATATCCCCTTAAGTGAATGATATAAAAGGAAAAAAAAAAGCATTGCTTAAAATTACAAATTTAAACACAAAGAATTATGTCAAAATAAAAATCAATTGGACTCTGATGCACCTTTTTAGTTTTCATGTTCTGAAATTGAGTTTTGATTTTCATTGTGGCATCATGGGATCTTTGTCTCCTTATAGTGCATCTATATGTTTTCAGAAGATTAAACGTGACATGATTAGAAAAGTAGAAAATGGTTTGAAAAAATATCAACAATATGTAGCACTCTCAACCTAACACTGCACATCATTTCACACCATAGAAAAGTAATGCAGATATAAAATAGCGCAATAAGAATATTATGTAAAACCTAAAAGGATCCCACTTAATTACTTTTATTAAAAACAAGAGGAATATCACAGCAACAATTACCGCAAACTCTACCACATCATGACCCCAGCACTGCTGAACTATGATAACACCAGGTTTCCTCCCCAGCACACACCCCACTGAGGTAATTTGAGAACCTATTTTCCTCCAGGCTCACTTTGGGTCAGGAACTTTGACAGACTAAATCAGCACAGTGACGCTATCTTTTAAATGACAAAAAGCTTCTAATCTTTGGGTAATATTATGTATAGCATTATCATTTTATCTTTGCGGCTATAAAATGAACATTGATCAGGGCTGATTAACTCTGCCTTTGAACTTGCAAGGAAATTATGTAGCAGCATGATACCATTTATATCTCTGTTTGTGCGTACGCATGTGTGCGCGTGGGTGTGTGTGTGTGTGTGTGTGTGTGTGTGTGTGTGTGTGTTGAAAGCGTAGAACTGTGAGATGATTGGGCACAGAGAGTCAGCTTCAGACTGGAATACTAAACACCCCGGTCTCTGCCAGAGAGGTCAGCACACAGGCACATGCAGCAGAACATAATTATGAACCTGCTTGAGCCACACACACACAAAGACCGGTAAACGAATAAACTTTTGCGTAAAATGATTGTAAAACTAAATGTTTTTACCGCGTATGGATGGTAACGTATCAGATAAAAGGACACACTCAGATTGAATGTTGACATTTTCTAAGTGTGATGCCTGCATATCTTTTTCCCTGTGTTTGGTGTTAGCCCCTGACGGTGAGCCTGTCAGCCTGCCTGACTCCCTGTTTAAACATCTCACCAACAGCGGTTCTGTTTATCGTAATTCATGTTTATGTATGAGTTACCAACACCGATGACAGCGAGGTTTGACTGGGTGTCTGCATGTGAGAGAGCCGCAGGCAAACGTGTGTGTTGCTGTGCAGGGACACGTGTAATAAAACACTGCCATAGTGGATGTCATGTTTTCATAAGGCTTGATTGAGCTGTAACCTGCTAGCTGACATTTTGCAACAGCTCAGATTTTATATTCTGACATATGGGTAACAGACGGACAAATGGAGAATGAATGCAATGTATGTGGGTAGTTATTGCATCATGAAAAAAGAAGATGGCTCGGATATTCATTAAATACAATAAATATAGTATTCATGACCATTGCGAGAGTTCTTCTGACAACTATAGTAGTCTAGTTTTGCAAGCAAAAATGTGCATTAGTTGTTTACATAAAGCAAACTCGGTTTTACTTTATAGATAGCAAAGTTGGAAATGATCAACAATGACACGATGGCCATAAACAGATTGAATGATGATGCCTGATCTGTAAATTGTGTTAATTCAGTTTTAATTGCATTGAAGCAATGTTGCTGGTGAAGATATCGCTCAGCTTTGCAATCCTTCTTCACAGTGGGGGACGGTTTAGTTTCTGGTTTTCTATCTGCATCAAGTGAATGATTTTGCAATATCTTCTCCTGAACAAGCATCCAGCAACAGCTGACAGTTGATTGCGTTGAGTCAATAACTTTTACAGCTCTCCGTCAAATTGAGCATGCATGTAGCGGCAATGGAAGGGAAAACAGTCTTTCACCAGAAAACCTTGGATTTATGCAGGATTCAGTGATAGGCAAATATAAGAGAAGGCTTTTCTGTAGGTTTTATATGCGAACACACAATGCCTAAAAAACGTCCCACATCCCCCTCAATGCTGTGTGGTAACCCCCAAATAAAGTGCGTTACAGTTATCCAGTATTAATGAAAACATTGATTACTATATCAAAGTCCTTCCTGGAGAAAATTGCCATTATTTTCACCAACCAATTAAATGGTTCTTCAAACCATGAGTCCAGCTTTGATGGGATTGGTTAAAAGATTATCGATATTTTGAAAGGTAGGAGGAAATAATTAAGGATTAGATCAATTTGTCCTTCATTTAGAATGGTCTATTTCAGAAATACAAAGAAAACAAGATATATTCATCTCAATCATTTACAAAGGAAAGCAGATTACATTTCTGTGCTGGGTTTTTCTTCAGTGAAGACTTGTAAAATATTTGTATTTTTGACAGAGGAGGGAAACTGGAAGGTTGAAGTCCATGGTTGTCTATGGAGAATGTTAATCTTTTCACCACAATGTCTTTTTCTATGGACTTGGAAAACGTGAAGGCTGAAAACCTTCATCCCTAATGAAAGAGATGTTTTTTTTTCTGTCACAG